CGGACTCCTATGCCAAATATGGGGGAACAAGAACAACTGGCTGGAACATTAAGCCATCTATCGAAAGGCGACGATGGTGATTTACGAACTCCTGAGACAATAAAAGATGATTCGCAAAAATCATCAATCACAGAAAAAATAAAGGCAGTATTAACAACTATAGTGGAACTAAAACCAAAAAAAAACGGACACGGCAAAACTCACAAAGCTAAAACAGCTAAAACCATGAACTCAGAAAAGGAACAAACAACAGATGTAATGAAAGAAACAACAGAGGAAACAGTAACTATAGGCATCGACATAATCAAGGAAGGAGAACGGATGGCAGACATTATTAGAAAATTTGACCTCAGTCAGGAAAATTTAGATAGTTGCGCCAACGAGCGATAGCAAAAGTAAAGTCAGAAGTCAGGCGATAAAATGATGGTCTAGAGAGCTACTTAATTGGTAAAATTGAATCAGACAAGGAGAAAGAAAAGAAAATTTATATGCAAGACACGTTGATTGCTATGAGAAGGTAGATGGACCCCTACACCTCCGAAGTAGAAAGTACAATGCAAGAAATAAGTCGACAACAAACCGAAAACTCAATGGGAATACAAACAAAACTAGACGCTCTCTTAAGAAATTCAAAGTGACCTAAAGGTGTTGAAGCACCGCGGAAGACAATACCGCGAAATTCTAGAGTCGATTTCAAAAAACCAGGTATAGCATTACCGGTTAGACTGATTGTTTTTTTAACCACTGCGGTCAACCAGAAGACCAGAGACGTATTTGGACAACCAGCACCAACTCCGTTTGCAGGCATGTTGGCTAACGCTTGGGAAATGAACAATAGAACATTAGAAGTGTTTGCTACCAGGTTATACGGATCCAATGAGAAGAGCAATAACGAGAACTCCAGGAAGATTTCAAGATTTCGAACAACTTCAAAGATGGCTCCGACGGATGCTAATGCACATTGACGTAAATGATGATCACTTGAAGTCTCCGAATCTGCAAACATCATTATTGGCAGGAAGGGCTCTCTTGACAACTGGAGTTGCCGGAACTATAACATTCAATGGTCGCTATACAAAGACAAATGGATCAGAACAAGTAAGGTTGAACACAGATGGTATAAACATCAACAAAGGACTCATCATCATGATTAAGCTGGCCCAAAGTTTCATCGAACAAGAGATACTCAAAGTCATAGCCATAGGGCACAGTGCCATGTTGCCAGGTTCCCAAGTTAGAGTAATAAGTCATACAATTAGGAACGGGATATACATAATGGATATCAATGATACTGAACAGTCTCTGAAAGGCTCTCTAGGCACAGGGGCAGCCTGGGTTTTAGTGAAGAAGACTTGATTGGTTCGAGAGTGCTTTTATGCGCTTCTAACAAAAGTGGCCTCCGAGTACTGGGAAGGACTCCTATTCCAGAGTTAAGAATAGCAGGAAGATACCAATTAAAAAGCTGCTCGGATGCGAAACTTCTAGATCAATCCGATCAATTCATACTGGTTAGAGACTTCTTCGGGATCTTCGTTGTCATAATTGATATCACAATTGTCACAAACTGTGCCATGTTCAGAGTTTGTTGTCCAGAAAGAAAGTACGTGTTGAAACTGGTAAACTTTATTTTGAGTAACGAATAAAAACCTTTGGTTTTTTTTCAGTAGGAGAGTTAGACTGGGGTCAAAAAACGAAGTCGTGGTGAACTAAAAAATTATGAATTTTGAAGAAATGAGTAATGATAAACAAGTATATATTGTGACCAAGCTCAACAGACAAATTGCTGCTTTTGTAGGAAGATGCTTCTCAAAAACCAAAACCGGCCTCTGGTGAGTGCCATGTTAAAAGTACTTGATATACTAGTGACCAAACTGGGATACATAATAACAGGAAAGACAAGATCTGAGCAAATCTAAAAAATTAAATTTGCACAATATTATTGGTTGCTCAAAAGACTGAGGTAAAATTTTTTCGTCTAATTACAAAGAAAAACATATTTTGTTAAGGAAAACACTCCACTAAAGTCGTAGCATGATGATGGCCAATCGCGCTGTTCCAGTTTTCTTGAAAGTCCAATCATAGAGTAATTACACATGGACAAACCCGTATTATTAGAGGTAGAACACCTGAAGGTCAAAAGCAACAGATGTATAGCTCGCCATCAAAACTATTTTAGACATAACCCAGGACTCTTTTTCTAGGCACGAAGCCGTTCTTAGTTGCTGGAAATTTGTAGAGCAAGAGATAGAACTAGAACCACAGATGACGCCATATTGGGAGGGGGTGAAGCAAATGACCCTCAAACATCAGATGCAAACTAAAACGAAACAGAAACTGAAACTATAAAAAGTCCATTTAAAAATTCAGACTCAAACTTTTTTCCTGCAATATTCACAAATTTCTTTTTTTTTGAAGTTCTGTGGTTTCTAATCCAAACAGTTGTGTCAACAAATATTGAATTTTGGACTCGTTGAGTTGTTGAGAAAGAGGATGTCTCAGCTTCCCTCATGCATGAAGCTGCTATTTTGAAGTTATTCCCAAAAACTTCCCTTGACAAGAATTATGAATTTCAACGAGCTGAGTAATGTTATACAAGTATGCATTGTAACCAACTTCAACAGTCAAATTGCTGCTTTTGTAGGAAGGATCTTCTCAAAAGAAACAGCGGCCTCTGGGTGAGTGCCCTGTTAAACTTACTTGTCATACTAATGACAATACAAGGAGGGAGGAAACTGGGATACATAATAACAGGAAAAACAAGATATGAGAAAAAACTAAAAAATTAAATTTGAACAATTTTATTGGTTGCAAAAAAGACTGAGGTAAATTTTTTCCATCGAATCAGATAAAGAAAAACATATTTTGTTCAAGAAAAGTTTTTTTTATACTAAAGTCGGAGCATTATGATGGCCTATCGTGCTGTTACAATTTTTTTGAAAGACCAACTAAAAAGAAATTAAACATAGTTTAATTCTTTTTACGAGAGATAGTGCACCTAAAGGGCAAAAAAAAAACAAATAGTTCGAAGCCATCAAGGATGTCTTAGACAAAATCAGGATGTTTTTTAGGCACGAAGCCTATATAAGTTGTGTCATTAGGTAGAACTTGAGATATAACTAGAAATAGAAGCGGTGCCACATTCGGAGGAGGTGAAGCGGGTGATCCCATAAAAATGAGATGCATATTGAAAGGAAACTGTAGTTTCAGAGGAATATGATACGATGGAACCATTCAAATAATCTGTTGTGTTTTCGACTTTTGAACTCCGTCACGGTCAATGACGCCTATCTGATCCCTAGAACAGATGAGAACTAATCAAAGACAGGAGATAAAAGGATATTTACCGCACTCGATATAGGCTCAGCTTTATGGCAAGTACACTTGAGAAAACAAAAGAGGGAGAAGACAATTTCTGCTGGTGAACTAGGGGTCTTTTTCAATAAAAACGAATGTCTCTTGGATTTTTCTTATTCAATTCATGCTAGGTATCAAAGTTTTGATGTACCAATAAAGTTCAAGATCAATTAAAGGGCAAATCTAAAAATCATTAACAATATAGAAAGTCTGAACAAAAATTTAGACCAGACTTTTTCCAAATTTTGAAAAAAATTTGCTTCTGAACTTCTGTGTTTTCTGATCGCAACAATTTGGTCGTCAACTGTTGAGTTTTGGACTTGTTCGCTTTTTGAAAAAGTAAAGGTATCAAGGTGCCTCATGTATGAAGCTGCTATTTTGAATTTATTCCCAAAAGCAGCCCGTAATAAGAAGCTATGTCTTCAGCTATGAAAAGTTATGTCTCCAGTCGAACACTGACATAATTGTACTAAAGTGAGCCTCTGGCAAAGCTCAACGTTTTTTCAGAAAAAAGTACTTCGAAGAAAGTTGCATAAAACGTTTGAAGAGTATACCCTTCCTAATTTTTGTTGGAATTTGTCAGAGACTGTCGGTGATATAATTATTTCACTGATCGACTATAGTTTCGGTGGAAGTTTGGGTAGAATGAAAAATTTACCATTTTTGGGGCAAATTTTGATCGGAAATAATCGAAAATAAATTGCACCATTTTAATTCTGGTAAAATTCTAAGTCTTTTTTGTCTTCTTCACTTTCTGTTTAATTTCAACCCATTTTGAGAAAAACGAATATAAGGTTCCCATTCTATTTTCGTTCGTTTTGTCCTATTAATTCAAATCACCAATGTAGATTTATATATTGTGTATGTACGTAAATTGCTGATTAAAATGATCAGGACAAACCGAAAAAAAAAGTTTTTTTTTTTTTAAAAAACGCGTTTTCTTCATATTAAGAAAAATAATGATTGGTACAGAAATTGCTTAGAAATTGCTGCAGAATTTCCAATACGCAAACTTCGGGGCCAAAAGTTTACCCAAAAACCGATCATATGTGGGCTGTTTTAGTCATCAAAAAATACGACAGAGCTACAGGATCGATTGATGACAAAAAATATCAAAAATATCCTTTCATGTAGCCCATAAAATTTTATGAGGGTAAGAAAATTCTAAGTTTTATATAAGCAAATTACTTTTGTTTAATAGCCAAACATTGTTTTGTTACTATACAAAATATCAATTTTTTATTTGAAAGCAACTTTAAAAGGTTTTGCTCAAAATTTTTGATTTATTTTATTCTTAAACTTTGTTGGGCTACATAAGAGGGTCACTTTGATACAGTTTGTCAGCAGTTGATCCGGTAGTTCTGTCGTACCTTTAGCTTGAGTATAAAAAGCTAAAATTGATTGGTTTCGGGGTAAAATTTTGGGCGCGTAATTCGCAAAACAAGTTGCACCAGATCAAATGTGCTAAAGTTCTAAGCAATATGTGCCCCCGTCGTTCCTTGTCAAAGGTCAACGCAGTATGAGAACAACGCGTTATAAATTTATCTTTTTTCGTTTTGTCCGAAAAATCTAAATCAGCTATGTATCATTGAATACAGTGATTGTTGGTGATAAATTAGTTTATTTTTAACAAACGCTCACTTTCAGTCGCCTTAGTATCTAGTTGCGTCACCGTAACTTCAGAAAATAATTCATGCTTTCGTTTGAGCCTCTTTCGTCATATCTAACATAGCATTGCAACTTTTTGATCATGCTTTTTGACGTGAAACAAATCCATTGCACATCTGATTATAAAGCAAATGTTTTATACAAATGCCTTTGTTTCATTATCCACTTAAAGTTTGGTTACAAACGACAATTCATTACAGATGCCAAAGCGGATAACGCTGATTCACGTACATTATTCGTCTCAAATTGAAACCGAGCGCAGTGGAACTAAGCGGAGAAACCGGTAGCTAGATGCCAGCACCTTCCGTGGTCGCTGCTGCCACTTTACATTTCGACCAACTCGGCCTTTGAACAAGTTCGACTATGCATTTTGAACAAAATTGAAATAAAAAAGCATGATTTTTACGTGATATTTTGTGCAATGCTTAGCCAGAGCAAAATGTGCAATTTTCATTAGAATCCGCAATGCGCCCTAGAAAAACTTTTCAATTACAATAAAGCGATGGTTTTTACCGATAAAGCGTTGGTTTTTATTTAAACTTGCTAACATTTATTAAACAATTGAACAAACAATTTCTTGAAATTTTTTTTACAGTAAACGTCTCTCCACGAATAACTGTTGCTTGCGACAATGCTCTGATGCATAATTTTCAGTCGAGCAGTACTTTTTGCTGAAATTTTTTAATGAAAGTATCACAAAATAGTTTAGGAAATATTATGATGCGACTTTTAATGTTGTGAATTTGAATTCGACTATACTCGGCTATTGAAATTTCGTTGCGCTATGATGCACTAGTGGACTAAATTTAGGTTTTTACTCTCTAAATTGTCTTATTTCAAGAATCATTTCGGACAACATTTATTCAGAGTTTTACCAAAGTTTTAACATCAACTTGCTGCAATTGATCTAAGCTACACTCTGAAAGTTTCAATTTTTTATTTGAATCCTTTAACAGTTTTTCCAGAAAAACCAGTTTTCATCATTTGTCATAAGGTTTCTAAGGGAGTGAACACTTTTTTGAACAAGCGGAGTAGTAAAACAGATCACGCGATGTGAAACATTTTAAACGAGTAAGTTTCATTGTTCAGTGTGATAACTTTCCTGAGCTCTGTTGTTTCTCATTATTTCACATGGCTGCAAATAACTATTAAAAATGGTGAAAACTGGTTTTTTCAGACCTGGAGAAACTGGCAAGTGATTCAAATCAAAAATTGAAACGTTCAGAGAGTGTAGCTTAGATCAATTGCATCAGTTCCATCTGAGAAAGTTGGTGAAATTCTCAATAAATGTTGTCTAATATAGACCTTGAAAAAAGGCGTTTTTGAGAGCATAAACGTAAATTTGCGTTTAATTCTGGTTCGACCATTTTGTCCATAAGTCTAGTGTATCTGGTTCGACCATTTTGCTCATTAGATAAAATCAAAACCTGAACAAGATTTGCTTCTAATTGTCACTTGTTACAGACTTTCGCCCAACCGATTCATTCATCGCTTTAAAAAGGTGAGATTAATTTTTATATTTTAGTTAAAAACTACAAAGTTGTGAGTTTTGAGATTTTTTCAACTGTTTTATCACGCTAACTTCAGGGTTTGCAGAGCAAATGATTTAGCTATCAAAAATTGTGAACCGGGTGTTCTTTTCTCCTGTCAATTCCGAAACTGTATAAAAAATTTTTTAACAATTCAATTATATTGATGTCCTGAGGTCAAAATCAAAAAAAAAATGTTTTACCTGTATTGTTTTTTGTAAATTTATGGGGAACCAAAAAGTCCAATTGGACAAATTTGAGATAATCCATGCTCATTATTTATCAATTACATAATCAAGCGTAACTTAAGCTAGCTAAGAAATCAGTTGAAATTGAACTGAATCAAATGAATTAGTCCAAACAACGCGTTTTTGAACTCACCACTTTGTTATGAGCTTTGCATGAGGGGGAAGATACACAAAAAGTCTGAAAGTGTGAAGTTTTTGTAAATATATTTTTTCAAAATTAATCATTTCTTAACTAAAAACTACTTGAAGATGCTTTAAGTGACAGTCTGAACATTAAGGGCTCAACCCGCTATGCGCAAATATTTTACCCATAACCTCTTGAAATGTGGTACGTGCCAAAAAGTTGTTATATACTTGCCATTACGAAGCCAAGCTGTATCGGCGCACAATTTGGTGTGTGTAGGTCTCTGAAATCCAGAGACAATTCTATAAACTTGTTAAAATTTTGTCGGAACGATAAAAAACAAAAGATAACAAGAAGAACCACTAGAGTGTCCTTGTTGTGGAATCCAATTACAATTCACAAAACTTACAGTTTGGCTTCGTAATGGCCAAAAAAATTGGTTTCTGTTACTCAGCTCAAAACGGTAGCCAATTCTTTGAAGCTGCAAGAATTGTACGAGAACTGAAAACGTTTGAAGCTGCAAGAATCGTACGAGAACTGAAAACTCATGAAATTCGGAAGCTATATGGCTTAGCATACAACGAAAGTTAAAGGAATTTGATTATTTATTATTTTTAATGGTCTCAAGCGAAGCTAGTTCAATTTGTTAGTTATGGCTTCGGATTTGAATGCCACTAAATTTCACTCTGATGGGCTTACAATTTTGCCTCATAGTCTCGAAAGTTGTACGGACAACCAGAATAATTTTGAAGCCTCCGGCAGCGATAACTTTTCAATTCAGCAGATAAAATTATTGCGCATACCAGGATTTTATCTGAAACAACTACCATCAGACGAGAGCGAGATTGAAATCTTTGATATGAACAGAAAATTGTACGACAGCAAAGCCTTCCCACTCGCAAATCTCTTTATTCCAACTGCGAAGGGCTCGTTTATGGACCGCATAATAGTAATTAAAAAAATCGAAAAGGTCACCGATAGCACCTTTGAGCAAACGAAAAAAACCATATTATCCCATCTAAAGGAAGTTAACGCCCTTTTCGAAAAGCTGCCTTTTGAATTTAACGAATCAAATGGTAAAATACCGATTGTTTTTGTCTTTTGGTCAAAAGCTAAGATTGAAAATGATCCCTTTGTTAAACAGTTGAGCAAAGATCTCCATATTCATCTTACCGATGATCCAAAGAGCCCAATTTTTGAAATCAGAGCAGCTTGTATTTTGACGAATGACTCCATTGAAGTTCGCCGCAAAACATTCCTTCAACCAGTAAACCCTTGCTCTTCCCCACATTCTCTGCTTCAAGCCCTAATCCTGAAAGTTCCCTCTCAGATCAGATTTGAAATTACCCGAAGACTTTTTAATTGCGCGGGCTCGAAACCAATCACTCTGAAAGACATAGAGGGTACACTTGATCTTTTTAAAGCTTATTTCCCTCGAACAGAAAACTGTTTAGAAATGTTGCCTGACTTCGACAGAATTTGTGAAAACTTGCTTGGAAAAATAAACGATTTTTCTCTTTCTGATGAGGCCAACCTTTATTTGGGAGAAGTAAAAGATTTCCAGCAAAAAGTGATCTCGCGCCTGAAGAGCCCTAGGGGTCTGTTGATTCATGGCTACAAAGAACATCATCTAAACCAAGTGCTGAGACAACCGTGCAACTGTTTCTTCGAATTTGATTGGTTATTAGTGGACAACGGCTTTTTCACTATTTTCGAAGTGGGTCGGAGTCAAAACCCCTCGTCGCCGACATCTACCGCTATGAACAAGCTATCAGATGATAAAAGTCTGCGGCAAAAGTACATCATGCAGAAAATTCTCTACTTTTTTCTCAGAGAAACTTCCAAGTTGCCTGATGACGAGTTGAAAGCAATTGCTGAGAAGTCAGTTAGATTAGTGATAGTTTTCACAAATATTACCAAACGAGCCCTTCAGGCGAGCATTGACCAGAAAAATAAATCTCTGAAAAAGTTGAAAATTATGAAAAATAAACAAATCTTAATAATGACTGGCGAAAACGTAGATATACTCAATAACACAATCAGCACTCCCATTCTTAAGTTGTTTGAACTTGATGCAAACTTTCAGCTTCAGGAGTCTGCATTGAGTACCGATGATCTGTTCAGCTCTGACGTTGCGCAAGATTTGAATTTGAGCGAGGAAAATAGGAAACTGACTAAATATATTGCCGCCATTTTATCTTTCTCATATCTGCTTAACTTTGATAATGGTCACCCAAGTTCGGACCTAGATCCTCCCGTCAGATGTCCCCTAGGAGTCGATGATCGACTTTCGAAAGAAGCCAATAACGCAGCACCTGGAATTTCTCTTCTCGACATCGTACTGAGTCCCCAGCAGCACAGATTACTGGATGAAAACGCTAATAAACTTTTTTTGGTGGGAGAACCTGGCACGGGAAAGACTGCAGTTTTGCTGGCAAAAGCATTTTATGCAGCAATGAACGAAGATGGTCTCGAACATGTAATCATAAGTTTTCCGTCAGAAAAGACGGAATTCAAGGAGTTAATTGTCAACTTTTCCGAAAGTCAAAATATTCCACCAGATGCAAAAAAGAAACTGAAGTTTTTTACTTTGGACCAATTAACCCACATAGCCGAAGCCCATATGCAGCTCAACAAGTTGAACACAATAACAACAAATAAAATTCAGCAAATTATTAACTTAAAAAATAAAAGAAAACTAGGTTTTGCTCCAATAGTTTCTGTTTTCTCAGAGTCGTAATTTCCTAAAACCTAAATTAAATATGTACTTTTTTTAAAAAAAATTTAAATAGTTTTTGAATTTTTGTTACACATTTGTTACAATTTTTGTTATGATTGTTTGTTTGGCAATTAAGCTCAATCTTTTTTGAAATTAAAAAATTCCACTCTGTTGAAAAGTTAAGACGCTGAAGATGATTACTGGGTAAAATGGGAATATAACTGCGAATAACTGTAAATAAATAAAACCATGGGTTGATCATTGTTGACAGACAATTTAAAAAAAGTAGACACCAAGTTAACATCTTTCTTTTTCTATAGCGATTTAGGGGACGATGTTTATTTGATCCAAAATTAGTATGATGGTGAACAATGTATTTCCGAGACATCGATCTGCATACTTGACATTTTCTTTAGAAAAACTCGATAAAACAGGAAGGCAATAATTAGGACGCACTAGGAACAAATATGTACAATAATAGACCACATATGCTATTTCAATTGGGAACTTTTTGGTTGTGCTTTTTGGTTATTTTAGTTTAACACTCTGTTTAATTAGATAACTGTTAATTTGTGTCTATTCGAAATCCATTGTTTTTTGAGACACTTTTTCGAGTGAATCGAAAAAAACTTCGTCTACGCATTCTTTTTTTAATCCTCTTTACTCAGTTTGTCTGTTACTATTAAGAAACAATGGGTCATTGATAGATCCTTTTGTTCCAATTATTAACTAACGCAACAAGTCTCGAGTCTGGTTATATCAAAGATCATAGTCCATCTGGTCCTATCTGGAGTTAAATTGATATTTTTATAAACCGATAAATTAAAAAGGATGATTAAATGGAAATGTTTGAAGGTTATAAACTGTTCATTTATGGTTAATTTTTACGAAATGGAGGGAAGTTCTAATATATTAACTTAAAACTTTTCTCTCACAATTTTTGGCTGGGAATTAGTGGAGAGAAGATGGAATAAAGTTAGTGCCTTCTGCACTTTGCTCGTCTAGAACGGGTAGAATGACCAGTGTCCGATGTCAGTTGGGGAAGTGTGCCCGACTCAAGAATGATTGTATTCAGTGTCCGTCATAGTTATTTTATTTACTTTACAAATTTTTTTTGCCAAATTTTTTTAAGTTTTGAGTGAATCTAAAATAAAATAACGATCGAGAAATTTTTTTGTTAGAGAGAGAATAGGAAAAATTAGAAAAGTTCAGCTGTTTGTATTGGCAAAAACAATTAGAGTCACTGAAAATTTTAGTTGGGTTTCCCTGCACCTGCTATTAGACTTCAGTCCTCTTTTAATCTAGTATCCTTCTTTTGATCAGGAGACAAACATCGCATTTTTTTTGATTTTTTATTATCAAAAATCAAATTTTAGTTTAACTGGGGGACATCATAACTAATTTCAATTGCTTTAGTTACTTTAATTTTCAGAGCAGTGGGGGATGTATCAACTGTCAAAACCAAAACAATAGGCACACTCCGTCTGACTGGCGTTAAGGCTAAATATAAAATTTCTTCGATCATCCGATGAACTTTATTACAACCTTTTCCTTTTTTCAAAGTTAATAAAACTAAAATAGTATAAAAAATCAGTTTAGAATTCAAAAAGTTACAGGTTTGATTTGACTTTTAAAGTTTTTAGTAAGTTGTTCAGTTGAAAACTGAATTAAATGTTAAATTAAAAACTCGTTCTCATCTTAAGATGTGAACAAATTTAGAATATAAAAGAGTCCACTTGAATCTTATGTAAGCAATTAAAACAATATCCTTCCTAAATAGTGTAGCATTTCCAATACTACAGTAATTCTACAACAGTGGTATACTTATTTGATTGTTCCCACTTTCGAAGAAAGTGAGGAGTTTTTATGCTTGGTGTGGTTTTTTTCAGTCGTTTTTCGACTTGTTAACCGAGCGTTTTTGACGGAATTTTTTTATACCATCTAAAAAAGGATGTTATCTCAAGTTCAAATTTAAAAAGATATTTCACCGGTGGTTTTTCGAAAATTGTTAATTTGGCTAATTTAGGATAACTAAAGTGCAATTTTTTGCGTACTCATAACGCGCATAAGAAGCGAATTAATGCGTTCCAAATTGAATTGAGGCCAGAAATTTAATCCTATTATCACAATACGAGACAGACGCAAAACACGCCCTTTACATTTTCTTAACGTGCAGGAGGATAAAATGAAGAAAAAAATTCTTCTTCTTTTCTCATTTTTGTTGCCAATTACTCAATCAAAAAAATTTTCAATTGGTCATAAGTGCAGTCGAAACATTCAGCGCTTTGCCCTGATATACGAGAAGTCTTGTTTTACCTTGGTCAGTTAAATTTTATAAAATGTAAGAAAATTTGGTCAAAAAAGAATAAGTTTATCCATACCAAGTGAGAACTTGGCATAGTCTGCAAATGCTTTTTCTGAACTCTGAAGTTGATTTTAATAAAAACATATTTTTTTCCCATAACAACCTGAAGAAAATGTGTTTTTTTAAAACAAAACCCTGTGAGAATGAGAAAAGCTTCATGTTTTTGCGATAATCAACTACGAAGTACCAGTTATTTTGGATATTCTCGTGGGCCAGTTGCAAACTTGAATGTACCCCTTCAAACAGTTTAGCAATTGTAAATGTCGCTCGCATAATTGAAGTTTCTTTGAGTGATTTCCAGAAAAAGTTCTGTTTAATTAGGTCTCAATAACGATAGTGTAAGATCAACTTTTTGAGCATAGTCATGTCGGTGTCCTACGGGGTGAAAAATTCTCCGTGTCAGACTTACACAAATCTATAATACTGATTGACGAGTTGTATTTGGAATCAACTGACACTTTAGCTGACCAAGACCGATTTCATATGAGATATCTTGAATGCTGTTACCATGCCAAACAATGCTGGATAACTAACCTAATGGCCGGTCAACATACAGTCCAGAAAAAACTCAACCAAAGAACGATGCTTCCCAATTTCCAAATCAAAACCCTCAATGTTTCCTTTCGGAGTGCACATCACATTAGCACTTTCTCCACAAATTTCATACATAAGACGAAGGATTTTACTCGGACTAGTGTTCGAATCCCTGGGTGTTTCACATCGAAACAAACCAAAATTGCTCTTCAAAAAATATCTTCTGCTGCTGATTTAGTTTTGAATGACGAAAACTACACAAAACTATGCTACGGCTCAAATCGACGAGCACTCGTCTTTAGCGATAAGCCAGAAGTTTGGAAAGAACGATTTGAATCGGAATCTTTAGTCAAACTTACAATAGTATCTCCTCGAACAAACTTCACTTCAGCACCGTATACTGGTTGTGAGGCTTGGTCAGTAATCATCATAGTAGATGACTTACCTCATGAAATTCACGACAGGAGGACTTTCGGAATCCTGAATTTGGCAATCACGAGAGCGCAATACGAAGTCTGCATCTTTGCTGCAGATACTGTTTACAATCGAATTGAGAACTTTCTAGAAGAAAATGAAGGTTATTGGGAGAACATTTTGATTGATGCCGCCAATCACATCCAAATAGATCTCAGTTTTCTGGCACCTTTTAGCGAGTGGGACAAAAAAACTAAAAACTTTGTTGTAAAGCTATTCCAAATTTCAATCATGAACTCCAATAAAAAGCTATTCGAGCAACTTCTGGACTTGTATCCAGGTGAAGACAGAAAGAAGGATCTTCCTATCCAGAAGATTATTTCAGCGTTCGATGGTCCAAAACTGGATGCGTTTGTGAAGGTGTTGTCTGAACGTGTAGGAAAACAATTCATCCAGTTGATAACATACGCGATGATGGCAGAATGGATCCCATTTTTGCATAGACTAGAAACCGTTCCAAAAGCATCAGGTGAGTTAACATTCTTATGATTTACACTAACTTTTTTTGTATAACTCTTTAACTAAAACTTTTAGAGATTTTGAGTATTGGTGTTGGCAGAAATTGTACACTTAGTCTTTAGGTGCTGCATTTATTAAATAGTTGTGAAAAATGGTTGGATGTTACGGCCAGCAACGAAAACTCGCAAACAAAATACAACTGGCAGCAAAAAGCAGCTCGTAAAAAACAACTCGCAACAAAAGCAACTCGCAAAAAAGACAAATAGCAGAATCTAAGGATAGATGGCGACAACTAGCAAATTAGTTAAAGATGCGGCGTTTGGCAATTACAGACCGGTCGCTTTGCTTCACGAATGGTTGCTATGCACCGATACATTCCGCACTATTGGTATCTTGAGCTTGAATTTTGGTGACTGAATTTCATGTTTCACTTATTTGAGCACATAAAAAAACTTGAAAAAATTTGGCGTTTACTATAAATTGTTTTGTTTGGCGATTAAAGAGATAAAAGATAATTGTTTTTTTTTGTACTACGATCACGACCATGCCTCTGTGTTTCTCATATAAGTGTCATTGCATTAAAACTTTTTCATGTAATTAGATATCCTGGAGGCTTCTATAATTGCTGGAAACTACAAGTTTAGTGTTGATTGGTGTTTCGAGAGATTAGGATCACGGATATTGACGACATTCATCAAAAACTGGGGACGTCTTTTGTATGCAGCATGCTACACTGGAGAAGCCAAAGCAGTAGAGTGGGCACTCCATATATTTGACAGGTCAGTGGTTATGAAAGGGTCGGTTTATAAATTCTAGTTTATAATTGTCGACCACATCGCAATATAGCTTGAGCGTTTTTAAGCGATTTCCTCAAAAACAAATCATATTTTGCCTGAGATTTTAACGCCTTTCGTGCGTTCTTTTCATACATGTTAGAGTATATCGAAGAGAATTAGAATACCAAAACTCAAAAATTGTTAAAGAAAACAAACTAACCTGACAGTTGACGTTGATAATTTCAAAATGGTTGAACTGAACTTTTGTTAAATTGAACAATTTGATGATTACCATTGATGTGAATACTAATGAAACCAAGTTCATGACTTTATGTAAAACACTTAAACATTTTGAACAGCACCAAAAATGATCAGCTTTTTAAAAAAGTGATGTAGAGTCATGTCAGGCACAACTATGGAAGTTTGAAAGTCGAATGACCCAACATCACACCACTACCACAATGTATTTGTTTGGGGGACTACAAAAAAACCCAGTTTTTGATACATATTCCATCGCTATTGAAATCTCTGAACCAATCTAGACTCATTTTAATCTAGATAATTCAAAGTATCAATCACACTGTCTCTTCGCGCAAACGCTGCGCATTGTCTAATCCTGTTTCCAACAGGTTATGGGCCCAATTTGAGACCCTCAGTGATTCAATGTTGAAAATTTTCAATTTTCAGTATTTCAAACATTCAAATCAGAGTAGATACTTTAACTCAATTAGCAATCTTTTCAATGGATACCAGCTTTAAATGGTTATCATTCACTGGCACCCAGGAAGACTTCCCACCTGGAGCATCCGTTTTGAGGTATTCTGTCAGACGAAAGGCCTCAATGGTAAACTCATAGATGAAGACGAAGATCCGGTCAAGCCAACAGCATTTGGTGCTACACCAAACGCCGATGATCAATCCAATAACAATGTAGAATTGCTTGCACATCAAAAACAACTAGCTGTCATCGAAAGACAGGAAAACGAGGTCTGCTGCTGCTACCTAGCAATAGTACTAGATTCTTCCAGCTTCATTTTGATCTGGCATGTCTGTGTCGACAGGAAAGGCAAAAGCGGTGTTCGAACTGCTTGAAATCTAAATAAGCAGAGGTTCGAGAGCGACGAGGCAACCACAGTTGTCAGTGTGATCCGCCAGGTTGCACGCCTTCAGCTCAGAGAAAATGAAGAGATGTTCTAGTTCTTCATACGAGCATAGCAATTGAACATGAACCTCAACCACGCCGGAGAGAAGGTATCAGAGACGTTGTTGAACGCGATGTAATTGAATGGCCTGCTTCCACGATACGAACACTTTGTGGTGCATGAAAGCTTCAATCCTGCTACTAAATATGTGGTACTGAGAACCAGCTGACAAACACCGAGGAAAGCCGTGCAGCTCGTGAAGGTGACGAGCAACAGCACATAGCAAAATCTGCCAAAGAACCAGGCCATTCAAAACCCTTCTTGAAATCATATAAATCATCACCAGACTCTAATCAAAATAATTATCGAAATTCCCCAAAAACAGTAATTTGCTATGCATTTGGCATAAAAAGACACCTGAGTAACGAATGCAGAAAAAGCAGTACTTAACTTGTAGTGCGTGTAGTCAAAAGGGCATTTACCTACTTTTTCGCGATCAAAACCCATGAGAAACCTGGTAATCTATTTTTATTAAGCTTTAACAGTAAAAAAAAACTCAGTCGACCCAATCAAAAAGATTTGTAATAGACTCAGGCAGCACAGGTCACATAGTTGTAAATAAGTCTTGGTTTAAAAATTCTTCAAATCTGAGTACTGAAATAACCAACTCAGATGGTGGGGAACACAGAAGTATTAGGAGAAGGCGGAGTTGAGGTTCAAACTAAGATGACACAAGAAAAAATTCAGAGTCTCATAGTAAAAGACGTACTTCATGTACCAAACTACAGAACAAACTTTTTCTGTTTTAACCATCATTCAAAAGGGACATTCAGTCAGACACGAAAAGGCTAAAAGTTTTTTGCAACTAGAAAACGGACCAAAATTTAACATTTCTCAAAAAGGAAAGCTTTTTGTTCTTCCTTATATTGCATCTAATATGCAACTCATCGCATCATTCACTTGCAACAAACCAGTCACTTGCTCGTGAGAACCAGCTTCAAATGTGGCATTAAAGATCTGGTCTCTTAAAATATACGGACTGAAAAGCCACAAGTGCATCAAAGGTTTCACCGCTTGACGAAATGTGCAAAGTTTCTCTTTTTGCTAAAATTACACGGAAATCAGTTCCAAAAACCCCAGAAAACAGAGCAAAAGCAAATCTCAAACAAGTTTTTAGCTATTTGTTGGAACCAGTGATTCCTTCATTCCTTCAAGCATTAAAACATTCCAATATTAAATAATTTTTGTCCACAACATTAGCATCTATGAAGCAGTTATGTACATGAAACACAAAAGGGAAAATCTTAAAAAGTTTAAGAAATTTGTAGCACAAAATGGTACCCCAAAAACTCTTCGCACGGACAATGGCACTTAATTTAAAAACAAATAATTCAACGCAATTGGTGTTGGGCATGAGTTCACAGTCCCTGCCTTTCCTGAATAAAATAGAGTAGTACAACGGTACAAGCAAATAACCAAACAGTAGTTGAATTGGCTAGATGTCTCTTACTTCAATCAAAATTTAGCAAAATGTATTGGTTAGAGCTATCAAAACAGCCAACAACAATCGTCATACAGTAAAAAAAATCTAATAACAAAACTTCAGCGTTTCAAAAATTATGGAAAAAACACCCGAATTATGAACATTTAAGAGTTTTTGGATGTCTTGTTTATGTAAAAACTAATGATAAGCCAAAATCAAATTTTGATCCAATGGCCCAAAAACATATTTATTGGACACAATGCTAATAGAACAGCAAACTTTGTTCAAAACTTAGAAAACAGACGCATACATAGAGTAAGGAGTGGAGTCTTCAATGAACACGTTTTTTCTGCTCACCACAAAACATTTGACATACAAAAAAAAAAGATAGATTTTTGTGATTATTTTAGGCTGAAAAAAGGAGCCGAATGTTCCCAAAGAAAAAAATTATATTTAGCACAATCTAGTGAAATTGAAAAAACTGTCTCAGAATCTGATGTTGAATCATCAATTGATAAAATCATCAAGTAGTAGCGAAAGTGTGGAACAAAATGATTAAAGTAAAACAAAAAAGTGCAAAAAAATCTGTCTCTTTTAAGCCAACAGTTGCAATTCAGCACATAGAACCTAGGCCTTCAAAAATTCCTGTACCTGTGCAGTGCAAACAAAAAACCCCATCACTACTTGCTGTAGTGAGTGCATTACTAAAAATTGCTTTAGCTCACGTAGACGCATCTGATCAGTGGTATGAACATGACCGTATAAAAATTAAACGAAAAAATGCACTGAAGCACAATCGAAATCTTAAGCGATCGGACATATCTCGAATTCCCTCAGAACGTTACGGCAAATCGTACACCAATTACACTGAACAACTAACACAACTTTTTGTAACCGAAACATACAAGCAGGTAATAGAATCTGGCGCCCAGTACAAATAGCACAAAGCAATGCAAAACAAAATACATTCTTTAATTGAGTTTCAAATATGGGTTTTAATCGGATAACCTAAGGACATTGATGTTATTCCAGGTAAACGGGTTTATGAAGTGAAGTTATCAAAAAGTGAAGGGTTTGATAAATTCAAAACTCGATATGGAGCTAAAGGATTTAATCAAGTCGAAGGTCTCGATTACTTCGAAACATATGCACCCACTAGTAAACCAGAAAACTTGCAATCACTTCTTACTCTAGGAGCTAAGGAAAATTTCAATTCACTAAGATGTCAAATCAGCACGTTTTCATCCATAAACGGATAAAGAAGTTTATCTCGAGCAACCTGAAGATTTTAAAAATTACTCTCAAAATGGAACACCACTTGTAATTCAATGTACGGACTGAAACAAGCAGCGCACTAATGGTACCAAGAACTTACAAACTTCCTAATTGAACAAAATTTTATTAGGAGCAAAAATGACTATTGCCTTTTCTATAAGACTAAAGAAAACAGAAAGTTGTATGTTTTTAAGTTGGGTCGACGACCTAATTCTAGCAGGTTATACTGAACAAGATATAGGAAATCTCAAGACCACAATACAAAACACTTTCGAATGGATGATAGAGAAGAACTTGAGTGGTTTCTAGGAAAGCGAATTGGGAAAACTGAAAACGCAGTCACCCTAGATCAAGAGACTTATTCCAGAAGCATCCTCCTAAAATTTTACTTGCAAGGTTATAAGTCGTCAAAAATACCAGCCGAAGTAAATATATAACTTGTTACAGGCTCAAAAAAAAATAGCGAACATAACACAGTATAGAAGCTTAGTTGGTTCATTGTTATTACTACCTAAGCGAACTAGGCCTGATATCTTGTGGATTGTAAATGCTTTATTACGTTTCATGAATTCCCCAACTGCTGAACACTAGTATGCCAGTGAAAATGTCTTACGCTACCTCCAGCACACCAAAAGGCCGAGAATTGCATACTCGAAGGACCACGATTTTGAAGTTTTTGGCGAAATTGACGATGAAAGGAGCGTCGATTCCAATGACAAACGGTCTACAACGGGCCAATTTTATAAGATCGGAAACAAATGGCTCGCGATTATTACAAGCTCGCGATAAAATGGCAAGTGAAGAAGCAACCGACTCACTTTTTTCTTGTGAAGCCGAATACAAGTCACTGGCTTCAGCTATTCAAGAAGCAAAATGGGATACGAATAACAGAAACCTACTCCAATTGGAGAAGACAACCAGAGCTGCATCAAAATTGCTCAGAGCCCAATCATGCAAAAACGATACAAGCATTTTGATGCAAAAAATACTCGCAGGAAATACTCGCAAAGACAAAGTGATCTGCTTGATCTACAAGCCGACAGACGGAATAGCAGCCGATCTAACCCGATCTAAACCGATCTAACTTATTGAGAAAAACGGAT